GGCCGCCGCCCGACAGCCCCCCACCCGCAGCCGCACCGCCAACCACCACCACCACCGCCGCCGCGCTCGGACGAGCACGGCCAGGCACGGCGGGCAGACCAGGCCGGCCTTCCACATGGCACCCGAGGCGAAGCCGTCCCCCTCCCCCCCCGCGCCACGCGCGCGGGACAGCCCCTCGTGACGGGGCGCGGAAAAGCGAAGGGCGGCGGCACCCCCCCGCCACATTCGGACCCATTCCCGCCGAATATTCGGTGCTCGCGGCACCAGCGCGGGTTCGGCGTCTTTTAAACGCTTCAAAAATCCGCGAGCTCGTCAGCTGCCCTCGGGTTGCGACGAGCATGCGCTCCGCTACCGGCAAATTCCGAATGCTGTGGCAGCCGACTGACTACTAACCGGTCCAGAGTCGCCGCTACCAAGTATGTATCCGATCAAAAAGTACCGAAAATGAAAATGAGAGATTAATATACTTCGATTTATTTGAAAGTGGCTCTTGGATAAATCAGCTGTTACGCGTGTCAGCAAATCGGAAGCTTAGAACTCATCACGGTTGAACTCCCACTGTGGTTGATGGTTGAAGTTCCTTATGGGATGACACAGTCAACAGCTGATTTAGTTCAAGTGGCATTACAAATACATCGAAAGGCCATAACAGGAGGGACCGCTTTGGACAGCTTCGTTGCTTCGCCACTATCTGTCAATATAACTACAAGTTACGTCCACGCAATCATTTTGCCAGTGGCCTTCGTTTACAGTTAAGGCTATTTTTTTGTTTTTAAAGGTCTTTATCACAATCTCTTGCAATGTCGTCGCCTGAATGACCTTCTTTTGGTTCCCGACCTGTCAAAGTGATCCCCCTTTTGGTAAGCTAGAACAGCCAAGCGTTTTGCTGGGGTCAAAGCCGTTCCCCTTCTTATAATAATCTCTCTTACCACTTCACTGTTGTGTTTCTTTCACACTTTCCCGAAATAAGACCGAAGTATCTCATTTTGAAAATTAAGATTCTCAAAAATAAAACTTTATTTAATATTTCATTCTGCTTGTGGTAACAAGTTATGAGTTTTTTAGTATTTAAAAAATGTCATTCATATTCTTAGAGCATTAAAACGATTTTTTTTGCGCCCATCTACTCTGTCCCCCCCCCCCGCGCCACGCGCGCGGACAGCCCCTCGGAGGGCGCGGAAGCGAAGGGCGGCGGCACCACACATTCGGACATTCGCCGAATATTCGGTGCTCGCGGCACCCAGCGCGGGTCGGTCTTTTAAACGCTTCATCCGCCGAGCTCATCAGCTGCTCGGGGTTGGACGAGCATGCGCTCGCTACTCGGCAAATTCCGAATGTGTGGAGCCGAATGACTACTAACCGTGTCCTAGAGTCGCCGCTCCAGTATGTATCCGATCAAAAAGTACCGAAATGAAATGAGAGATTAATATACTTCGATTTATTTGAAGTGGCTCTTGGCATAAATCAGTTGTTACGGTGTCATCCAATCGGAAGCTTAGACGTCATCACGGTGAACTCACTGTGGTGATGTTTAAGCTCCTTATGGGATGACACAGTCAACAGCTGATTTATGTCAAGTGGCATTACAAATACATCGAAGCATAAAGGAGGGACTGCTTTGACAGCTTCTGCTTCGCCACTTCTGTCAATATAACTACAAGTTACGTCCACGCAATCATTTTGCCAGTGCCTTCGTTTACAGTTAGCTAATTTGTAAAGGTCTTTATCATAATCTCTTGCAATGTCGTCGCCCTGAATGACGTTCTTTTGTTTCCCGACCTGTCAAAGTGATCCCTTTTGTAGCTAGTAACAGCCAAGCGTTTGCTGTCAAAGCCGTCCCTTCTTATAATAATCTCTCTACACTTCACTGTTGTGTTCTGTTCACACTTTCCCGAAATAAGACCGAAGTTTCTCATTTGAAAATTAGATTCTCAATAAACTTTATTTAATATTTCATTCTGCTTGTGGTAACAAGTTTGAGTTTTTTAGTATTAAAAATGTCATTCATATTCTTAGAGCATTAAAACTATTTTTTTGCGCACATCTACTCTGTATAACACATTGGCTAAACATTAGACTTACACGAAATTCTCCTGCAACTCAAGTTTTATCTTTGAAATACAATTCTCTTTTGGTTCTATAGATAAGTAAACGAGATCACCATTTGCAATTGAAATTCCTAGGAATCTCATCTTGCATTCCGAATTGTATGGAATGAATACTGTCTCTGAATAAGTGCTTTCTGCAGATAAGAAATTATGAACTTGGATCTGAGACCGGAAAAGACAAGACAGTTGTCAGCTGAAAAGATTGCACCTCGTCACTCTGAAGCGGGTTTCTTAATTTTAATATATGTGGAGCATCAGAATTTTGAGTAATATTTCACTTAATGAAAACCTCTTGAGAAAATCTCATTAGATATTTATTTTAAAACAAAATATGACTTCTGAATATTTTCATCTTTAGCAATATAAATCACGTACACTTTTATTCATTAAACTATGTTACGGGAATTTTATGTTTTAGGAAATTCCACAACCACTTTCTCTTGAAACCTAATGGCTCCCAGCCCATGAGACCTTCTCCGAATGGGAAAGTGAAGGGCCACAACTCTCAGAAAGACTGGGTGGCCCTTCGTCCATTTCCAAACATCAGTCGCTGCTCTGACAGGTGCTCATTACATAGGGCACGCCCGCCCCGCCTCCGCCCCGCCCACTCCGCTCTGATCTTTTGAGGAGCAGCGGCCGAAATTGCTTGCGCACGTCTTACACCACCCAGATTTTCGGAAGGCAGGTCAGCCTCATGTTTACCTATTCCCTTCCCCAATCGAGCGACTATTTGCAGCTCAAGCAGTGTTCAGGCGTGGGACGGGTTTTTGGAGAAAAGAATTCCGCTGGCCTACGTCTACGGCGCACGAGTCGACGCGAACCCTGGTCTTTGCAACTTTCAATTGCTCTCTGCCTTCATTCTGTGGAGAATCTTTTTTCCATCGTTTTCGTCCAGGTCGGGGGTTAACACAATCATCTTAAATAACACCGTAGTAAATATTAGTAAACTTTCAACAGAAACACGTCTTCATGCAATAGACAATTGTTAAACTTATTTATAACCTCTAACGTCTTGAAGTGGGTGTTAAATCAGATATATGTTGCAATAAAAACACTTCTTTTAGAATTTCGTAAAAGAATTTCGTTAAAATAAACACGATGTTACACGCTTTCTCGTTACCATTGTTTTGCACTATGAGAATGTTTTTCAGAGATAAAAGGTATTAAAACTCTGTACGGTTATTTTTCAACTAGTATTTGGCAACACAAAATTGAAATATTGCTAAATGAATAATTTCAATCGAATGAGAGCAGTAAATACAGCCAAAGGAATATTGATGAAGTAGAATTTCGAATAAAAAATTCAATTTGTAAATAAAGGGTAGAAAATAAACGAGAATTATTCATAAATTTTCTTAACTTACTAACATATTATTCAAACATGTTCTCAACCACATGTCTTTAAAAGAAGTTTCCATATTTATCCATTATTTAATATTTGGATAAAATCATACATAGCGAAAGTTTCATATTTATCTTCTCTTCTTTCATTTTATAGAATTACAATAATTTTCTATTATTTATACAATTGAATTAAAACTTTACTCACAATTTTAAATCCGAAATACAGAAAAACGCACGCTCCAATTGATTTGTGAACATGCGGAATAATTTTATTATTCATGCCTCCTTTATTTGTTGAATTGAAGAGGAATGAATTGATTTTATTGGACATTGCAAGCCGACTTTATTACCGAAAACTGAGAACTGTTCACAAGAAGTGTGTTTGCCGCTAACAACAAAAGCACCGCAGACCTAGATAGCCGAGTTTGCTAAGGCTGAAGGGCCGTAGTTGCATCGGTTGGAAGGGTCGCTGGCTCGAATCTCGCCTGGGGCATGGATGTCTGTGTGTGTTCGTGTTGTGTTCCTAGAGTTCCCCCCCCCCCTTCCGTTCAAACAATCCCAGTGGTCGCTATATAACCACGTTGTTAAAAAGCGACCTTAAAGAACCCAGAAACAAACAAACGTATAAAAGCACCACGATGCAAAAATCGACGACTTAGGGTAACACTTCCATCATATCTTAATTTATACTAGCAAATTATAAGAAAACGAATACTCGCAATATTTTGAAGAATACTCCATTCCTAAAGATTTTTCAATGACTGGGCATCTGTAATCATCATTTCCAAGCCATTTTATATAAAAGAAGACCGGAAAATTCCATGTCACAAAACAAACAACAGACATTTTTTAATCTTTATTCTACTTCAGGATAAAATTCTCTTTCAACATATCTTTTTTTCTCGCTCTCTCTCTCTTCCTCTCCAATGTTCCCCAGCACTCTCTCTCAGCCTCTCTTTTTCTCCCTCTCCACTGTTTCCCCAGCTCTTTCTCTCTCTCTCCACTGTTTCCCCAGCTCTTTCTCTCTTTCCATTGTT